ATGAAGTACCCCCTTGATCAGTTCAAACAACTGACTCTTGGTCTTTGTATAGGTTCCTCATGAGCACAATTAGGTTTTCTGGAATTCCCATTCTTCACAGTGCTATCCATGATTCGTTGTGATCCGCACAGTCAAATGCCTTTGTTTTCTGCTCTGGAAGAGTATGCAAGTAGCCCTGGAGGTACAATGGTTAAATGCTTGGCTGCTGACTGAAAGGTTGGAGGTTCAAACACACCCTGATGCTCCACAGGAGACAGGCCAGGCAATCTGATTCCATAAAGATTACGTCAAGAAAGCCCGATGGGGCAGTTCTACTCTGTCCTATGGGGTTGCTATGAGTCTAAATCAACTCAATGTCAAACAACAAGTGTATACAAGTGAGAGAGTCCAAGACTAAAAGACCAAAAGATGAAGCACTTCCAGTTCTCTTCTCCACTGGTCTTCCTGCTCGTGAGTTTCAGGAAAAATATACAAAAACGTTCCAGCCAGTTTTGACATTTCTAAATGATCAGAGAGGTGTAGCTGATACAGAAGGATAGTGGAGACGTGTTGAGCTAGAATCTGTCTCACTCCAGGGATTACTTTAGAATCTGTCTCACTCCAGGGATTACTTGGTGCTGTGCTGCGTCGTGGGCATGTGCATGAAGGGCTGAGCAGGAAGCAACCTCCCTGCACCCATGCATGGGCAGAGCCCCCCCTTCATATGAGTGAAGTGCACCCTGAAGAAGCCCCATTCCTGACAGTTTGGAGAAGTCAATAGACAACTCAGGGAAATGGAGAGACAGAAGGGAAAAGAGGCTAAAATGGCCAGAGACAGGGGGCTTTGCATGAAGAGGGATGGAATTAAGCCTACTGGCCCTGGTGGGTTACTGGGAGATAACTGATGTTGTTAGCTGCTCTCACATCTGCTGTTGTGGGTTTGTGTTTTTTGTTACGGTTGATGAGGGCAGAGCTTTGTCTTGTTTGCCACTATATCCCTGCATCTGCACAGTGCTGGGGCACAGTGGGATGGGGTAAGGATTTTCTGAATGAGTAGGTGTAGGGTTTTCTAAACACCAGAGTTAAAATGGTAGCACACCACAAGACTAGAGCTAACTGATGGCACACAGCAACAATGGCAATCACAACAACCCTAGAGCAACAATGGTGGCATACAACACTGCTACCAGAGTTAAAATGGTGGGACCCAACAACAAGACTAGAGCTAATTGATGGCATGCAACAACAACAACAACAACCACCCTAGAGCTAAAATGGTGGCACACAGCACCACCACTGCCAGCTAAAATAGGCTCTTAGAGGTCATTGTCTCCTATGATGCCCACACTGACCTTTCCAGGAAGATAGAGTAGGTTTTTTATGCCTAGAATACAGGAAACAGATGCTGAGTGATTGATTTGCCCAGGATCCCAGCTGATATGAGGCAGATATGGATAGGAACTGACTCCCTAGGTCAGGACGTGGTACTCAGAATGATCCTGGCAGAGCTCCACCATCTCCCTGTAAGCCCCGTGGTTGTGGACCCCCAATTACTTCACTGCTCCCCAGCATGTGGCTTTCTAGTTAGGAGGCCCGTGGAGGCTGGAATGTTACAGGCTCGGGGCCTGTCCCAGGTCCTCCTCACTCTTCTCACCCTCTTCTCTTCTACAGTAGCTTCTGGGCATCGACAGAATTCCCTTGGCTAACTGCATTTTTTGGACTCAAACTGGCAGTCCCGATCCAATGATTCCACCAATATGAGGAGCCTGGGTTCTTTCTCGAGTGTTTGCTTTAAGAGTCTCGGGACTATTTGAACACTTTCAAATCTATTTTAAACACAACCACATGTTTCTTTGAAAATGCAGAGTTTTACATACCTGTCATCCTCTCATTGCTATTCTGCTTGCTGTGAATACGGCCTTAGCCTCCTGTGCTGCTGTAACAAAAATACAACTACTTGGCTTTAAAGAACAGAAACATGTTCTCAGAGTTCAGGAGTCCAGAAGTCCGGATTGAGGGCACTGGCTAAAGGCAAGGGCTCGCTCTCTCCCTCTCTCTCTCCCTCTCTCCCTCTCTCTCCCTCTCTCCCTCTCCCTCCCTCTCTCTCCCTTTCTCTCTCTCTCTCCCTCTCCCTCTCTCTCTCTCTTGCCCTCTCTCTTCCTCTCTCTCCCTCACTCTCTCTCTCGCTCTCTTGCTCTCTCTCAGCTCTGGAGGAATACCCTTGTCTTTTCCAGCTTTGCGAGCCCTAGTGTTCCTAGGTTCCTTGGGGACCTGCATGTGGCTTCTGTCTTCCCTGTTTGTACTTCCTTCTCTATTTTTTTCTTTTTATAACTCAGAATTTGTTAGGTGTAGGACCCACCTACACTGATATGGCCTCATTGAAATACCAAAGAAGACCCTGTTCTCAACTAGGATCCCATTCATAGGTATAATGGTGGGGACTCCAACTCTCATTTTGAGGGGATGCAATGCAATCCATAACAAATACTATCTTCCATCCAGTTAAAAAGTGGCTAAGGAAATGATGAAGTTTATAAACGCAGGACAGAGACAGCCCAGGGATGTCTTCATATGTTCCCTATGCAGCAAAATCCTGGTGGGTGTCATCCAGGGGAGCAGACAGGTCACTCCCAGCCAGGTGCCCTTCCCGTGCACACCTGTACAAGTTGAGCCCAGCCAGGTCCCTTCCCATGCACACCTGGACATGTCGTAACCAGCCAGGTCCCTTCCCACGCACACCTGGCCAACAGCTGGCTTTCTGTTCCCATTCCTCCCAGCTCACACACAGCCACGGTCTCTGCGGGGGAGTAGCAGGAGCCTGGAGTGTTGTTTGTTGTGTTGCATGTGTGCCCTTCCTTCCCTTGGCCTGGCTCTTTTCAGTATGAATTAAGGCACCCAACTGCTTCACAAGGAGCCCTTGTTGCCCAGTGGTTAAATTGCTCAGCTGCTAACCAAAGGGTGATGTTCGAACCTGCCAGCTGATTGATAGGAGAAAAGACTTGACAGTTTGCTCCCAGAAAGATTACATCCTTGGAAACCCAACAGGGCAATTACACTCTGTCCTAGGGTCACTGTGAGTTGAAATTGACTCAACAGCACACAAGAAGAACCAACAGCAACTGTTTTCCATCAGGATGAGATCATGTTGACTCTGAAAATCTTTAAGAGTAGCCGTGTCTGACTCTTCCACGATGAACTTTGCTTTACCCACTTAGCACCTTGCTCCATTCCAATCCTTGACCTTTATGTCGTAGTAAGAGGAGCCCTAGTGGCACAAGGGTTAAGTGTCTGACTGCTAAACAAAATATCACAAGTCCCAACCCAATGACTGCTCCACCGGAGAAAAGACCTGGTGATTGCTCCCATAAAGGTCATCGTTGTTGTTAGGTGCTGATGAGTTATTTCCAACTCATGGCGACCTATGTGTGACAGAAGGAAACACTGCTTGGTCTTGTGCTTTACTTACAGTTATTGCTGTGTTTGAGCCCATTTTTGCAGCCACTCTGTCAATCCATCTCCTTGAGGGTCTTCCTCCTTTTTGCTGGCATTCTACTTAACTAAACATGATGTCATTCTCCAGGCAACGGTCCCTCCTGACAACAAGTCCAAAGTACGTGAGACCAAGTCTCACCCTGCTCACTTCTAAAGCACATTCTGGCTGTACTTCTTCTAAGACAGATGTTTTCCTTCTTTTTGACAGTCCATGGTCTAAAAACCCTAAAGGGCAGTTCTGTTTTGTCATGTGGAATCACTATGCTCAAAATTGACTGGACAGCACACAACAACAATATACTCATAGTGTAGCTCACACCATAACCTTCAAAGGCCACTAAAAGGGGACATTGACCTTTCCTGAATGAGTTTCATCCAGTCCACTAAAGGCTAAAACCAAGACTCACTGCCCTCAAGTCGATTCTGACTCATAGCGACCCCTCTTTGGGTTTCTGAGGTGGTATCTCTATGGAAGTAGATTGCTCAGTCTTCCATCCAAGGAGTGGCTCATGGGTTTGAACCGCCAGCCTTCTGGTTAGCAGTCAAATGCCTTAGGCACTATGCCACCAGAGCGTTCTCTAAAGACTAGAGATACCCATTAAAAATGTTAGGAACTATGAATAAATTTTATGTATGTGTGTATGTTTTACATTTGATTCTTCATAAAATATTTATCTATAAAGAAATGCTGAAATGTTGAAGACTCCCTAAGGGAGTGAAACTGAAGCTGAATTCTTAGGGAAGAGCAGCTGTTGGTGTATACCATTTGCTTCACCTAAGACTAGGAGTCCCTCTAGTAGAAGCTCCAGACAGGGTGTGTATGACCATAGCTGGCCATTCATGGGATTTTAAGCCAAACTTATAAGCAGAGGGCAGACCAGAAAAGGAAGCACTATAGAATCATTTTCTCAGAAACAATGCTAACAATCGACTAGCAGAAAACATGTGGGAAGCAAGGACTACACAAAGCTCTTGTAGGTCTCCATTGCATGGTGGCCTGGTCATTCTTTCACAGATGTCTGCTGTGTTTCTAACTCCTAGGAGGACCTCAGGATAGTACCATGTACACCCACTGGGGACAACTAATAAGATATCAGGCATTTATTGGCATTCAGTGCAAAGATTTCTGGGTGATGCAGATGGTTAACATATTCAGCCACTAACTGAAAAGTTGGAGGTTCAAGTCCATCCAGTGGGTGGACTTTCATCCATCAGATGAAAGACCTGGCAATCCACTTTTGAAATATGAGCCACTGGAAACCCTATATAACACAGTTCTACTCTGATACAGAGGGGGTCACTCTGAGTCGGAAAACCACTCAACTACAACCGGTTTTTATAGGCAGGTTGTGTTCTTTCTATCACAGATACTCTCCTGGTAAGAGCAGGCTCTCTTCACAGACACAAAGGACACACACACGGTGCACAAACAAACACATTTTTCTCAACTTACCAAGAAAACGACCAAGTGTAGTTACTTCCCTGTCTATAGCTTAATGATGCTTTCCTTTCTTCTTTTCTAATCACAGCAGAATCTAAGAAGAAGAAAAAGGAAGGCAAGAAACAGGAGAAGACGCTGGACTAGAAGCCACCATCATCTGTGGAACGTGCGGAAGAGGACAGCAAACAGGATCTCTTAACTATCGCATTTATACCTACGATAGGCTTTTTATTCCAGAATTATCTATAGCTTAAGTACATAATAGGCAGAAACAAAAGGAAAAGAACATTTTTGTAGTAGCATTTTAAAGAAATGTATGCCCTAGTTCCATTAGTCTCATAATGAAGGATGGTAATCCTATTTAGAAAGTTGACGTATAGTACCTGATTAAATGATAGAAATTAGGTAAGTTTTTTTTTGAAATTATGTGATATTTTACATTTAAAATCTTTCCTTTTTTTTTTTTTTACTTTTTTTTTTCTTTTGGTGACAATTTCAATGTTATGACCTTGTAAACTACTTCTCTTGTTAGCTGATTTTTTCACTTAGAATTTTTTTCCCAATTGCAAAAAGTATATACTAAACCAAGCAGCAATAAAATATAATCACACTGTTTGAGGAAAATATCTTGTTTTCTGCCAGTGGATTTTTTTATTATTATTATTATTTTCGTCAGCGAAGTGTGTCTGTGCGGGGAGCACGCCCTAGTTCACTGTTGACTTTTTTTCAAAGAAAAACATTAAATATGAAATTCTTAAACTTTGGCAGAAACATTTGTTTTCTTGATAAAATTATTTTTTCCATCTGAGAGAAAATTACTGGGAAAATAAATCAAGGGGAAGCTGGGAAAAGAAGATGCTTTTGTGCAACAATTTGATATTATAACACCTCCTCCCTTTTGCTCCCTTACAACCCAAGTCAACCTGTTATCAGTGTGAATGTAACAGTTGAACTAGCTAAATCACTCTTAGACCAAAATGTTGTAGAGGTTTTATTTTACTTTCTATCCATATTTATATAGTCAGATGGACGTCCCTGGTCGTCTCCAAGTGGAGTAGCATTTGATGGAACAAGAAAGTGCTTTTCTCACTTTGTATTGAATGAGGTTGGGCTAACTGGTTGTTATCAAGTCCATTCTGAGACATGATGACCCTGTGTCTGAGTAGAATTGTGTGCTCTATAGGGTTTTCAGTGACTGAATTTTTCATAAGTAGAGCCTCAGGCTTTTCTTCCAAGGTGCCTCTGGTTGGACTTGAACCCCCAACCTTTTGGTTAGCAGCTGAGCACTTTAACCATTTGCACCACCCAGGCGTTGTCCAACTCAGGATCAGAATAACAGAATGTGGGATGGCAGTTTGTGCTTGGTTTCTATAAACTGTGGATTCCCAGCACAGACATGATCTCCATCCTCAAAGACCATCTACACAGCTCCCTTATCTGCTGGGCTCTAGACTCGGTCTTTAAATAAACATGACTATGCTACTGTTAGGAGCTCTGGTAGCGTAGTGCCTAAGGCACTTGACTGCTAACCAGAAGGCTGGCGGTTCAAACCCACCAGCCACTCCTCAAAAGGAAAATGAGGCCATCGACTTCCATAGTGATACAGCTTGGAAACCCAAAGAGGGGTCCCTATGAGTCAGGTCTGACTCGATGGCACATGACAACAACAACAATGCTGCTGTTATCCAGAGAAGAAAGTCTCAGAAGATTGCCTGGGATTAGGCCTTAAGCATTGCTCTTGAATCACCTCTATTTTAAAGTGACAAAACTCAATAAACAAATACCTAACTACCAAGATAACTATAAGCCCATCTTCAGAAATGAAGGTTTCAACAAGCCCTTGGTTTTCTATAAAATAGATTCTTACAAACTGGTCTGATGGTGTAGGCAATGGATCTTCCCAAACTATTTTTGCATCTAGTCTAAGACTCCACTTGCGCTAGGAACACTGGGGGTGCCTATTTCTCACCAGTAAGTCAAAACCAGGAGACAGTGATGGTTCAGTGGTAAAGTCTCCCCTTCCATGCAGAAGGCACAGGTTTGATTCTTGGACAGTGCACTTCACAATGCGCCCACCACCTGCCTGTCACTGGAAGCTCGCCTGTTGCTATGATGCTGAACAGGTTTCAGTGGAGTTTTAGACAAAGATGGACTAGGAAGAAAAGCCTGGTGATCTGCTTGCAGGAAACAACCAGTGAAAACCGTGTCATCACAGCAGTTTGGTTTCATGATGCACAGGGTCGCCATGAGTCAGGGTCTACTCTACGACAACTAATAATAAGTCAAAACCATTGCCAGTGGGGGAAAAACATAAGGATGACCTTCCAGACACACGCACTAAACTTTTTATGGACTGGTGCTTCATAAAAGCAGAGTACCTTGTAAAGTGCAAATGATAAAAATGTGAATAGTAAATGCTGTCCTTTTACATGCTGACCTTAATAGGAAAAAGTGCTCATGGGAATGGAGGGAGGAGAAGGAAAGAAGGCGAAAGAAAGGCAATGTGTTAAGTGGATTTCTTGACAGCAAAGTCCCATAAGGTTGAGGATACAGAAGAGTCTGCAGCCAGTTTTGTTAGGCTCTCACCTAACCTTGCTCCCCCAGTGTCCTTTAGCCAGAAACACAGCCCATGAATCAGTAATGAGTTAAAGGGAACTAGAACAGAGTCTCCCCAGGGAAAGAGCCCTGTAAACAACCACCACGCTTCATTATTCCTAGGGCATGGCAGGGAGCGGGCAGCAGAGGTGCTGTGCTGGGCTAAGAATGACTCTTAGCAAACCATAAAATGACTCCTTGGTTCTATGCTAAAGAAAGGGTTGAGGTGCTGGTCTCTGATGCACAGGGTGTGAAATTAAACTTCTCGTTAGTCTCCAGAGTTATCCTGCCCCAATCTACTCTTTAAACGCAGTGCTAAGTCACACTGAAGTGTTGGAAGCATAAACAAGATTGCTGTGGGTCTGATTCACTGGGCTGGCAACTGACAACGACAACAAAGATGCCACTACAGGAATGTATGAAGGCACAATGTCTTTATGCAAGAAGCTTCAGACGTCACTGATTCTCACAGACAGGACAAAACAGACCATGCTCAGGAGCTTCCCTGAGTGTCCAGCAAACTCTCTTCTCACATGTTCTGAACGTGAGGAATCTTACTCTCAAGCTGATTAAGCTTCACGGAAGGGAAAGGAAATGGGAAGAAGTCAGCTC